TCACAATCGGATGATTAACACCTATAGTTAGTGAATGATCATGCACATAACTATTATTATTTTTTCTCACTTTCTTATTTTTTTAAATAAAATAAAACATATATACAAATAAAATATGTCCTTTATATTTATCTAAAAAAAATTATTTAAAAAATAATTTTTTTTGACTGATTTGCATCATTATAAAAATTAATAGAAAACTTTTTGCAAGTTTGTTAATTATATAATTATTTATTCTTATCATTAAACTTAGTAAAAAATATTGACTTCCCTATCAACTTCTCTTTTTATCTAACTTGTTCCATTTGGGTCTAAATATTCTGATGAATAACTAGTTTCTTATCTATCTAAAGTAATCAATTTTGGCCTAGAAATACTCACCAAACACATTAGAGTAATTTTCGTAGATGTCACTCATGTTTGGAGAATTATTTAATAATATCACTCTTGTTTGTTTTAAAATTTTAATATCATCCAACTATACATATTTTTCTCCAAATATACTTTATACAAAAAGATATCTTTCTCTCTCCTATGTGACATTATTTCTTCTCTACTAATAATTAAAATAATAAACTTTTTAAATCAACATTTCTGATATACTCGGTAAAAATAATAATAACATAAGTCAAAGTGAACATTTTAAACAACTCATTTTTGTTTTTTTATTATTACGGTTAACACTAATTATTTATTCTAAATCATTTTTCAAATCATTCATCATTTAAGTTCATATAACATGTGCAAGGTTACATTAAAAACAAGAAAAAGTGAGGGGGGAAAAAGTAACGCTAGAGAACAATTTTCACGTGCTCATAAAAAATCAAGAATATTATATCAACTTACTCTTTCTACTGATTTTTTTGGCTTAAGTTGTTAAAATTACATAAATAAAGAGAATAATTTTAGGTTAATTTTCTGTGTATTACTCTTGTGAAAATACTATTACATTTATACAGGTAAGATGGAAAGAAATACGGAAGCAGATAAGGAAATGGCTGTACAGGATATATTACTAACATAATTAGTCTATTTTGTTCCTATAATTATTCTGCTAAATATGGATATTTTCTACACTCCCCCTCAAGTTGGGCACTCGAATTTCCAATGCTCAACTTGCGCAAGACATTGCTAAGAGCTTCAGTACTAACAGCCTTGGTTAGGATGTCTGCCAATTGATCTCTTGATCGAACAAATGGAAGTTAGATAACCTTGTCTTCTAACTTGTCTTTGATGAAGTGTCGATCAATCTCAACATGTTTTGTTCTGTCATGTTGGACAGGGTTTCCAGAAATACTTATTGTTGCTTTGTTGTCGCAGAATAACTTGCAGGCTATTTTCTGAGGAAAACTGAGTTCATTTAGCAGTTTTCTAATCCATAGGATTTCAGTTATTCCTTTCACAATTCCTCTGAACTCAGCTTCCGCACTTGACAGGGCTACTACCTTTTGCTTCTTGCTTCTCCAAGTTACAAGATTCCCTCCTACCAAAGTGAAGTATCCAGAAGTGGATTTCCTTCCATCTCGGTCTCCGGCCCAATCTGCATCGGTGTAGGCAATTATATCGAGGCTATCATTTCTTCCGAAGTAGATCCCGGTGCTGCTTGTACCCTTTAGATACCTCAGAATCCTCATTACTGCTGTCATGTGATGTATTTGAGGTAGATGCATGAATCTACTCACTACCCCCACTGCATATGCAATATCTGGTCTTGTGTGGGCTAGATAGATGAGTTTCCCTACAATCTTCTGATATTGTTCTCTGTCGGTCGCCTTTGCCCCTTCTATGATCTGAAGACCATGATTTGCTACAATTGGAGTGTCAGCCGGTTTACCACCTAACATTCCAGTTTCAGTTAAAAGATCGAGAATATACTTTCATTGATGAATAAAAATCCCTTGCGTGGATCTTAGGACTTCTATACCAAGAAAGTACTTTAAGTTTCCTAGATCTTTCATCTCAAATTCTTGAAACAAATTCCCCTTTAAGGTAACAATTTCTTCCTCATCATCTCCAGTGATGATCATATCATCTACATATATAATTAGACAGGTGATTTTCTGATTTGCCCTTTTTATGAATAAGGTATGATCAGAATTACTCTGTCTGTACCCAAATTTCTTCATAGCCTTAGTGAACCTTCCAAACCAAGCTCTTGGAGACTGCTTTAAACCATACAGGGCTTTCTTCAACTTACATCCTTCTCCATCTTTAAAGTCATGAGAATATCCTGGAGGGGGTTCCATATAGACTTCTTCTTCAATGCTTCCATGGAGGAAGGCATTTTTAACATCAAACTGATACAAGGGCCAATCTTTGTTTGCTGCTACAGAGAACAATACTCGTATTATGTCTATCTTGGCTACTGGGGAAAAAGTCTCTGAATAGTCGATCCCAAAAGTCTGAGTGTAACCCTTGGCCACCAATCTTGCTTTGTACCTTTCAATAGTTCCGTCTGCCCGGTGCTTAATGGAGAATACCCATCTACATCCCACCTTCTTCTTCCCTTTGGGTAGAATACACTTTTCCCATGTTTGATTCTTTTCCAAGGCAACATATTCATTTTCCATGGCTTGTCTCAACTTCTCATCTTCAAAAGCTTCTTCCACAGTTCTGGGAATGTTTGTTGAGTATAGGGAGGTAGTGAAGGCAACAGCTGTGTTGGACAAGTTTTCATTGCTGATTCTTTCTATGGGGTATCTGGACCGTTGGTCCATATTCCGGGTCATACCTTTTTGGAGGAACACCTCTCGTGCTTCTGGGAGGAAGCTCATATCTGTTTTGACAATTATCACTAGACACAGAGTCAGTAGGAACAGTACATGATTCAGAGTTTACCTCAACTGATGTTGACTCAGGGTGCTCAGTGGTTGTCATTGGAGTGGATTGAAGAGAAGGAGCTGATACAGATGTTTCAGAGTTGACGTCGGTGGTATTGCTTACTTATGTTGGAAGATCATGGTCCATCATTTCTGGATATATTAACCAGCTAAGGTCATCATTCGTAGTCTCCCCCTGAGGACCAGGCTGGGTATAGTAATAGGACTGTTCAAAAAACTCACAGTCAAGACTGGTGTAGATTTTTTTTTGAATGGGATCATAGCATCGGTACCCTTTTTGAGTAACCCCATACCCAATAAAAACACATTTAATGGCTCGTGGTTCAAGTTTATTTCTGATTCTTTTTGGGAGATGAACATAGACAACACATCCGAACACCCGTGGAGGTAAAGAATGATAGGAAGGGATGGAAACATGGGAGGAAAGAGTGTCAAGAGAAGTTTGGTATGCAAGAGGTTTGGTAGGTAGTCGGTTGGTTAGATATGTGGCTGTGGCAATGGCTTCTGGCCAAAAATGGACAGGGACATGGGATTCTAACATAATGGCTCTAGTAATCTCAAGAAGGGTTCGGTTTTTCCGTTCAGCTATCCCGTTTTGTTGGGGAGTATCCGGACAGGTAGTCTGGTGAATAAGGCCATGATCAGAAATAAACTATTACATATCTAAGTTTATGTATTCTCCTCCGTTATCAGATCGAAGAATTTGAGGTTGGGCAGCAAATTGGGTACAGATCATGTTGTAGAAATTTAGAAACACATCATATACTTCAGATTTATTTTTTAGAAAATAAACCCAACTCATACGGGTGAAATCATCCACAAACAAAACAAAATAGGAATATTTATAAAAGGTAAATTCAGGTGCAGGACCCAAGACATCAGAATGAATTAAGGTAAATGGCTTAGAAACATGAGTCGAACTGGGAGAATAAGAGTGTTTATGACTTTTTGCAAGTACACATGCTTCACAATCCAAAACAAAATCAATGTCCTTAAAAGAGGGAAATAATCGTTTAAGATAACTTAAAGACGGATGACCTAGCCGTCGGTGCCACATCCAGATCTGATATTCTGGCGACCCTTGAGCAAGCAAAGCGTTACCCTGTTGAGTCACCTCGTTCACATAGTATAGACCTCCTCGTTCAATACCACGACCAATGATCCGCCCCGTCTGAGCATCCTGTACAATACAATCAGAAGAAGTCATTAGAATTGTACAGTTTAGTTCCTTGGTTAATTGACTAACAGATAAAAGTTTGTGGGTAAGACTTGGAATTAAAAGACAATTTTTTAAATGGATTTCTCATGTAATATCTACATCTCCGGCCTGAGTAATTGGAATGAACTCCCCATTTGCAGTTTGAATCTTAGTACGGGTAGTTGATGTGGAGGAAAGAAAATCGGATGGGTCGTATGACATAGTGTCCATGGCCCCACAGTCAAAAATCCAATTGGACTTGTTGCACATGAGACCCATACTTTGATTTTCCGTGGGTTTATTGTATAATTGGGCTTCTGATTTATGGGGCTTTTGATTAACAAGGGCTAAAGGTTCTGATTTTTTAGGGCTTTTTGTTTTCCCTCACCCTCATTTCTAGAGGACGGCTCCTCTAGACCTTTTTCTCTTCCTCTTCCCGTCGATTCCTCTGTCTTCATCCATGGTTCACCAGAAAATTTGGTGAACCCATCCTTGCCACTCGTACCTGTTCGCCTGTCGGTGACACTGGTTGACGAAGCCTCGCTGGTACCTGTTTGCCAGTCGGTGACAATGGTTGACGAAGCCTCGCTGGTCGGTTCTCCTTCTCTGATGGCGGCGTTAGCCTTGCCGCCGATCTTTGTTACCTTGGTGGCGGCTTTACGCTGTCTCAGGTCCTCCCACCATTCTGGGTAGCCAATGAGCTTAAAACATCCTCCCTTGGTGTGTTTGGTTCCTCCGTAGTGGCTGCATTTAAGGTGAGTTTTGTCCTCTCGCCGGAATGAAGAATCTGACCGGCTAAATGAAGAATCTGACCGGCGTTGAGTGACAAGACCACTTCCGATCTCTGAGGGACCTCGTTCCAGTGATGAGTTGCCGGTCATTATACCACGACGAGCAATTTCTTGTCTGATGGTGGCATATGCGGCATCAATGGTTGGAAGGGGATCTAAATTCAGAATGTCTCATTTTTCTTTGTCAAGTGAATCATTCACACCAGCCAGAAACTGGTACAGCCTTTGTCGTTGTATAAACGAGTTGAACAGTGTGATGTCTTCTGCACATTTCATTGGGTTCGGCATTCGTCTATCGATTTCTTTCCAGATGGTATTTAATTTGCTAAAATACACCTCTATCGTGTCTATCCCTTGTTTCATAGAGGTTGCCTTTGTGTTCAGATCATAGATCTGCAATTCATCTCTACCGCTACTGAGTAGAGTTTCGATGCCTTTCCATAAATCTCGGGCAGTTTTGTAGTCCAAGAACTGATTCACGAGATCTCCGTCAATATTCTCGATGATCCACGAAAGGACCATCGAATCTTTTTGAGCCCATTGCTGGTATCCTGGATCGTCTGGTGAAATGGGGTTGACGATGATGTGATTGAGCCTTCCCCGGCCACCAATTGCTATCTGCATCAGTTTACACCATTTGGTGTAATTGGTAAAGTTCAATTTTTCCGCGACTCGCACTGTTTGTGAAGTCCCTGGTTCGATGTTGGTTGAATTTTTGTTGAGTGTTTGAAACATTTGAAACAGTTGTTGCATATGTTCCTTAGAAATAAGCTGGTTAGGATTTTCCGGTGGGTTTTCCGATGGGTCTTCCATTTCGGTAGATCCCGGTAGATGATGAGTACGAAAAACCGTCGAAGATCGACCTTATGGCTCTGATACCATGTTAAAATTACATAAATAAAGAGAATAATTTTAGGTTAATTTTCTGTGTATTACTCTTGTGAAAATACTATTACATTTATATAGGTAAGATGGAAAGAAATACGGAAGCAGATAAGGAAATGGCTGTACAGGATATATTACTAACATAATTAGTCTATTTTGTTCCTATAATTATTCTGCTAAATATGGATATTTTCTACATAAGTCATACACAGACACTTAAAGTTGTCCGCATATTTCACTTAGACACCTCAAGAAAGGTTTGTACCTATTAAACACTTATATTGTTCAAAATAAAAATCTATTAAACATTTTTGTTGACATGGCAAAGAAAGTGCACCACACATTTATTGAGCGCGTGAGAGGGGTATTTTAACGATTTTTTTTATCTCTCTTCTTCTTCTTCCTTCTTAAAGAGTAACTTTTCCAACCCTACCACCATTTTCAACATTTTAGAAGAGGGGAATCATGATCAACCAAAATAACTTAATGAGGAAAGAGAACAAGAAAACTGCAAAGAAATACAAAAGAGAAAGAAAACATACAAAAGAATCATGAGGTTAGCTAGTGAGATCAGTTGTTTTATCAATTAGATCTGTCATTTTCAATCGATCACCTCATCGGAACAATCCCATCTAAATTGCAATAAGTAATTTTTTACCAGCAATTACACAAGACCCACAAAAGGAAACAACTAAAAAGATCCAAAACAAGTTAAATCACACTTGATTTTAGGATTCAATGGGCATTACAGAAAATTGAATCTTGGTTAATAAATTCCATTAACTTAATTTTTCCGGCCATGGTGGGTAAAAATTCATAAATTTTCGACAAAACCCTAATTATCCTCCTTGTACCAACATTAAACAGAGAAGAATGTTATTGTTTAAGGGGTGTTAAAGTTGGAATGACGGTGGAGGAAAAGAAGGAATTGCCATGGGAGGGTGGGTTATTTTTTCTTTAGAATTCTTTTTAATTTTTTTAATTAGTTAAATAGATCAAAATAGTTGTCTTTTAAAGTTTCATTTTTTAAATAATTTTTTGGACTCAAATACCACGTGTCATCATTCAATTTGTCATTCTGTCATGTCATCGCCATGTCATAGCGAATGTATTACACACATTTCAGTTTTTTTGTTGATTAACAAAAATATGTCCAATAGGTATTAATTTTAAGGGGCATAGGTGTTCAATAGGTACAAAGTTTAGTTGAGGTGTTTAAATGAATTATGCGGACAACTTTAAGGGGTCGTCGATGACTTAAGCCGATTTTTTTCTAGCAACGACACCCTTTCTTCATGACGTTAAAAATAAGTATTCATTTGTTACTTGTTTACTTTAGAAAATCAGGTAATAAATTATTTCTTAATTCCTAATTCACTCTTATTATTAATTTTGCAAATGCAATTTTCAAAATATAAAATTTATTATTCTAATAGAATTGTTAAGTGATATATCAAATTAATATGAACAAGTAAAGATGTAAAGATGGACAGAAAAAATAGAAACTAAAAGTTTTCAGTTTAAATTTTTTAAAAAAATAATATGACATGAATCCGATTAAAAGTGTGCACTTTGCATATTGTTTAAGAAATTAAAGAAACTATGATTTGAAAAATAATTTAGAAAAATAATTAATGTTAAATGTAATAATAGAAAAAAATGTCTATCTCTTAATATATTAAAGTAAAAAAACAAAAAAATGACAAATAATTAAAAATTATTTAAATTTTACTGAATAACATAAAAAAATAAGAAAAAAAAAATGTGACATGACATCCAAGAGAGAATAATATTTCTTTGTGTCAAATACATTTTGAGAAAAATATGTAAAGTTAAGTGATATTGGTTTTAAAAAATTTATAGGTAATATTACTAGGTAACTTCTGAAACATGAATAACTTTCTAGAGAAATTACTCACAATATAATTATTTTTCTATCTAAACTAAGCAATCCGAACCTAAGATTTCACGATTATTTTTCTCTCCAAAATAGTTGATCCGAGCCTAAGATTTCTCATTAACAACATAAAGATTTGACCGTTAAAAATTAATTAGTTTTGACTTGAAATTTGCATATACTTATTGGGTAAACGTATTTAGAACGCTTTTGGCCAAAATTAAATATTTTATATATGTACTTATTTATTTTTTCAAAACTAAACTATTCTTTCTTTAATATATGCACATGTTTATCATATCTCTTGTAAATTGAAAATCATGCCTAATAATTTTTTGTTGAAGTTTCTTTCAAGAATTTTATTTTTTATTTTTACACACAAAAAAATCCTTTATTAGACCATATATATCACCCCTTATAGTGGCTCGATGCTTGATTATATGTTAATAATCATGTTAAAATATGTCATCTTTAACATCATCTTTTATTCAAACAATATTAGTTAAAATTTCTTATAGGCATTTTCAAAAATAGGTTTAGTTGAGATTATTATTTTTCTCTATAAATTTTATATTAAAAGTACACTAACTATGATTTCTTTTCACGATTTAACTTAGAACGCTTTAAGAAATTATTAGATAAATTATCTATATGCATACTTGTTTTTCCATTATTCCATTATTCTCTACCAGTTTTAAAATTTTTCAAAATCTCTTATTTTACTTTCAAACCCCCCAAAGCTGGATACGTAAATCCTAACTCTCCAACATCAATATTTATCCCTTTCTTATTTCATTTCACAAATCTCTCCTTATTTTTAGTCATACAATTATGATAGTTATTTTCTCATTCACATTTGAAATTCAAAAGCAGTCTCTGTTATGTATGTTAAGGATATTTTTAGATATAAATTTTAAAAATGATATTTATGAGGCTTTACTTCAAAACTTATAATAAAATAAAATGAGTGAACTTCAAATTTTCAACAATAAAACATAAATTAGAAAAAAAAGAACAAGTAACAGTAGTAATTATTATTTGGTAATAAATTATATAATATTTGTTAATTTTTCATAATTTGAGTTGGTTATAAACTCTAACAACTAATCATTTATTGAAATTGATTAGGATTCTTATATTATTATTTATTTTTTCCGTCGTCTCATAATAACATTAGTTTCAGTTTCATCAAAATTTCGTTAAGTCTAATATTTACCTCTTTTTCATGTGTTTTTCATAATCATATTTCTTTAATGAATTGTGTTTGTTCATATATTTAATAGATAGCTTAATTCTTATTTATTGTAATACATTTATAGATACACTTTATTTCTGCTAACATATATCCTTCTTTCGCAACCTTATTGTCTCGGATACATTATTATCAACTACAAAATGATACATTATGTAAGTTATACATATCTTTGAAGGCAAACTACACATACTTATCAATTTTGTCACGACTGGAATCCAGACCCCAGACGAGACCGGCGTCGTTGACCTCTCAGAGGTCGCAAACAAGCCTACTTACGTCATTCTTACTTTACATAGGTTAATTTTAGCGGAAAATTTGAAATTTTTTATTCATTAATCATACTTGTTAAACATTCTTTATATTTCATAATCGTTCATCATCAACCATCTAACAATTAAGAGATAAGCAACTGAAAGAAATAATTCATTAAGTATTAATTGTATATCGGTCAAAATAACCCCAATACAAAGTCTGAACCAAAACAGTAAAGAAACACTAGTGGAACATGCTCCACTAGCTCAACTCTAAACTACGCTAGAATGTAAAACAGTAGCATCCTCGAAGGCATGAGGACCTACAAAACTCCGGATGAATGCTGACGTCCGGATAGCTGCAACAACGAACCTGTAGCTCTACCGTCCACCTATGTCTGCACCTAAAAGTAGATGTTTGTATGGAATTAGTACACACTTGTACTAAGTATGGGTATATGCAAGCATACACCAGGGACATGCATGAGAAAGAATAGCTCTTTCCGAACAACATGATTTTTTTGAAAGTCAGGTCAGTGGACTTGCCAAATTGAGATTGGAAAAATTATGCCATGAGAGTGACATGCATCATTATCATTATCGTACTACACACAACACATAACATCTTCATATAACACATAACATATAAAACATAGTTTCTTTCATATTTTTCATTCATATACCATGAGACCTTATTATCATAGACTTAACCTTAAGACTTTCCAAAATGAGGGCTCAACATATGGGACCTCAACTAGGGAGCCTTCTTTAGCAAACACAGAGTCTGCTTCATTTCTTCATACGTATTTCATTTCAATTCATTCATAGGCCAGTGAGAACACCAGCTATACCTAGGATGTAGTTTAAGACTTTCATCGGGTTTGCTGTGCAATGATCAGGAATAACCTAATGTCATTACCTGAATCTAGCTCACCTTTTGATTATCCTATCCCAACACATTAGGTATCATTCATTTCTTTATATGATTCATTTGAGGCTGGCCTCATTCATTCATTGGGAACTTTCACTTTAACCGACATACATCATGTGAGCATCATGAAATCCAGTGTCTTCCCCACACCGAAAAGAGGTGGAATCACCGGCCAAAATGATTCAATAAGATGTTAGCGTATATGGAAATTTAACCCCGCCAGACCCCTATAGTGGCAATATAGGTTCAAAGATTAGGATATGTATGGAGACCCATACCCGGCAAGCCGGACAGTCTCATCTCATGAGAGTTACGTGAACCTCCACCCTTCTCGAAAGAAGGCATCACCACTCATAGCTAGCCTATCGGTGCTCAGTATAAAGTTCCATTACATTCAACTCATACATCATGGAAGCTGGCTTCTAGTATGAGGACATCATAGCTCAATAGATGATTTCTCATCTCATCATTAGTATTAAGTGTTTTAAACTCAATATTTTCATTAGAGTGTTCATAGAGACTGGTCTCTTCATTATCTTACACTCTCATTGGTGAGTACGTATTGGTAACATTTACTTAGGCTCATTTGATTGC